TTTAAATTATAAATTCATTTATTTTAAGGTTCCGAGCCTTAACACAATTAATCACATCTTAATATTTTAAATAATAGTCCTAAACATATATAATGGAAACCTAAATAATCAAATGTAATTGCCTATACAATTGAGGAATTCAAGCATTATAACATGACATTAATAAATAATAATGATAAATAAAGAAAGAAAAAGTAAACATTTATTCGAAATTAAAAATAGCATGAATTTTTAGATTTTTAAGCTATTATTCAATCTCTAATAAGTTAGTAGAAAGAAAAAATTTACAATAATAAATGTAACATTCGATTGTTCAAAATATAAAATAATTAATATCTTTATAAAAATATAATAGAATTCTTCTTGTACAAACCAATCCGAATTCAAACCTAAAAAATTAAAATCAAGTTATTGGATATGTTAAGAAATAGATGATGGGTTAGTTGAAAGGGGGCTATTTGATTTCCCTCTATAAAATTCGTACATATCAATATTATTTTTAATAATATTTTTTTAAAAAAATAAAATTAATATAATAATATAAATAATAATTATTTATTTTATTTAATATGAAATATATAGTAGTTATCTATTTAAATAGTTTAAATTTAAAAATAGAATATGAATTGATTAAATTTCTAAATGATTTACTTTTAATTTATTATAAACTTTAAAATTATACACTATATAAACTCCTGATCACATATTTATCTCATTCATTTTGCAAATTTTTTTAATAAAACTTAAGGTATAATAATTTTTTATATTTTTATTAAGTAAATTCTTCACTTCTGTTTAATTTTGTTCACATAAATAATGTTTATATTATATTTATATAAATTTAAAAACTATTGGACAAAAGTTTAGCATTATCTTAAATCTCTATGATAATTAGGATGTATATTTTTAATTTTTCTATTCAATTGACCAAGAGAGGTTAACATGTATTTTTAATTTTTTAATTTTTAATAAATATATTAAGTAAAAAAAAAAAAAATACAACGACATCCCATGAAAAGTTTTCCTCTTTCTTATAAAAAAAATAATATATTATATTGACACCACAAATTTTATGTTTCATGTTTATCACCTGAGTTGATTAAAAGTATAAGATATAAAACAAAACTTTTTATACATTAACATTATTTATGAATAAAATAATTGTATTAACACTCAGTCTATCCATCTTTTCTTTGTGCATGTTTACATCGAGAAAGAAAAAAGAAAAGAAGTAAAAGAGACAATTAAGGTCGCGAGAGTAAGAAGATCATAAATAATCTAGTGGAAGTTCCCAATCATCTTCTGAATTTCTCATCTTTGTTTGGAACTTCTGTCTGCTGAATCTTCTGAGCTTTCGTCTTCTCTGGCTGTGATCAGATCTATTAGGACCTTTAGAACCAGAATATTCACCCAGCTCATCTCTCAAAGTTCCTCTGCTGTAAGAGTCCCAGAAGCCCTGTCACGAATATGTAAGAATTTTAATTAATACAAACATCACACCTTTTTCTTTGTTTAGCATGACCAGTACCAAATATTCGACACATTTAGAGAGCATCTAATTTGGTACTTGCATTGAA